CCAGCATTATGTCCATTTTATGGGTAGGGACACTGGAGTCCAGAGAGGTTAGGGCACTTGCTGAGAAGCTCCATGACTCGGGTCTGGGCACATGGACTGGAGGTCACTGCATAATACAACAGAACAGTGACGATTCCTCTGTCTGGGGCCCTGTTCTGGAAGGGCAGCAGGCCATCACATACCTGATTGCACATTCTAGAACAGTCGCACGCGGTGCTCTGCATAGCCGTGGCCGACTTCTTCACAGCCTGTGTTCTTGCTCTCTCAGCTGTCTCAGCTGCAGGTCTGGAGGAGGACAGACACACCCAGAGTTCGAATAACTCAAAATTCAAGCTTTTCTGATCATGGTTTTCACTGAGCCTACAGCCCTTCGTGTAGGTTTTCCTCATGCATGTCCCCTATGTTTGCTTTTTGAGGGGAGAGTGTAACTCACACCAACCCATACCACGCCTTCCTGTTTGCTTCCCCTGGTTTGGCCTAAGGTTAGTCATAAGTGTATATGTGTAGCTAACAGTATACTCCATACATGCCATTTGTACTCAGGAAAATGGAGACTCAATGGGCTTTGTGAGTTGAAATTTCCACATTAGAAACAGATACCTACTACTCTATTCATGATGTGGTCCTCTTAAAATATACTTATCATAAAGGCTACAGTGCTCATTACATTGAATTTATGAAATCATGAAAAGGAGTGTACTAATTCAGCAATACCCAGCACTAACCCTCGTGAAAGTGTTGAAAATACATATTTAAAAACAATATACATGAGGACTGGAGAGGGTCATGGTGCTTGCTGCCAGGCCTGATGACCCAAGTTCAATCTCTGGGACCTACGTGGTAAGGGATCTACATGGTAAGAGGAGTGAACCAAGTCCCATATTGTCCTCTGACTGCCAGACGTGTGCTGTGGCACACCACCATACATATACACAAAAAATCCAAATAAATAAAAGTGTAAAGAAATATACATGATGGAACTTACTTATCTACTTTCAATTATATACTGTGAAGTTCTATGTTATTAAAATTTTTACTAAAATAATTTATTTTAACTTGCAAAACCAGTTGCTTGTCTAGATGGCTTTTTTGTGTGTGTGCATGGCTTTGGGAGCAATTTTTAGCCCATTATAATTATTTCATCCCAATTTTCTTTTAACCTTCAAAACTTCATAATTTTTTAAAGAATTTAACAGCAAGCTCTGGGAACTATCCCCATTCCTAGTATTATTCAAGATATTTACCCTTTGGTGGTCCATACCACTGTATTATTACTTTTCTGTTGCTGTGATAAAACACCATGACCAAGGGAACTTATAGAAGGAAGAGTTTATTTAGCTTACAGTTCCAAAGGGGCAAGAGTCCATCACGGTGAGGAGGCATAGTGGCAGAGGTGGCTGGAGGAGGAGCAGAAGCTGAGCTCTCACATCTTCAAGCAGGCACGGGAAGCAGACTGGAGATCTGGCAAGGCTTAAGAACTCTCTAATCCTGCCCCCAGTGACATGCTTCCTCCAGCATAGCCACACCTTTTAAGACTTCCCAAAACAGCGCCACCAACTGGGGACAGAATGTGCAAATGCTTAGAGCCTCTAGGGGATGTTCTCATTCAAACCTCTACAGTCACCTTTAGATGAGTGTTATTACCTGTATTAAGAACTAAGTCTCGACCTCATTTCTCCTTCAAGTCAGCGTCAGCATAATTTAAATATGCACATGGCATGATAGACCTAGTCTTTATTAATTTTTTATTAATTTTAAAATATTTTATTATTTTTATTTTATGTGTAGGAGTATATTGCCTACATGTATATAAGTACACCTGTCATGCAATGCCCACAGATATCAGAAGAGGGTGTTGAATCCCCTGGAACTGGAGTTACAAATGGTTGTCAGCTGCTGTGTGGGAACTGGTAACTGAACCCGGGTCCTCTGCCAGAGTAACCAGTGCTCTTAACCGCTGAGCCATCTCTCCAGCCCCTAGTCTTTATTTATTAAAAACAAAAACAAAAACAAAAACAAAAAAACAGCCCTTTGGCCTGTCCACTTCATTTTCTCATAAGGACTTTTTACTACAAAAGGAAAGGAGATTTGTAGTTCGTTCCAACACTTGAAAAGTTGTCAGTTTTCTGGACATTTTATGATCGGACCAGTAGAATTGAGGCAGATTGTTTATCTGTTGTATCTGACCACAGAGAACTGAAAAAAAAATTTTCATATGAAACACGAAATTCTTGCTGAATATGTGAAGCACTAGCCCTTTGTTCTCAATCTCTGGCCTTGCATTTTGTCACACACATTGCTCATCTCCAAAATCAAGCCCTGGGCTTTTCTGATAGCTTCTGTTTTGTGTGCACTATGGGTCTGGGATTTCTTTACTAAGCGAATCCTTTGTTCTTCTGTTTCCTGGTATCTTAATTTTATATGTGTAGCAGAAACTGGCTTCCTTACTCTAAAGGGCTAATAATGCCTTAGTCTATTTGGGTTGATAAGTAGGGTGGCTTATAATCTATAGATACTGATTATTTGGTGTTCTAGAGGCTGGTGTATCAGGACAGGGCTCCCTTTCTCATTGAAAGGTCATCCTCTCATGGTGAAGGACAGACAGGCTCGGTAGTGTTTCTTTTTCTGTACAGGCAGCCTCCACGCGCAAGAACAGCCCTCGTGACCTCATCGCCTTCCATGAAGCCTTCTTTACTCACCGTCACTTTAGGGGTTGGGCTTTTAGTCTATCAATTTTGGGAAGACATAACTCCGCAGATTACATCATCCACATAAATATTTTAGGGTCTGTGTACCCTCAGGTCCCAGGTATAGTCACTCAGTTCTGATTTGTAGTGGAAAGGTAGCCATAGTCTGTGAATGAATGTGTAAGGATGGCACAATAAAACTTTATTAACAGGCTGGAGAGATGGTTCAGTGGTCAAGCACGCTGACCGCACTTGCAGAGGACTCTGGTTTGATTCCCAGCACCCACATGGAGGCTACAAACCATCTGTAACTCCAGTTCAAGGGGATCCGATGCCTTCTTCTGACCACCAAGTTCACTGCACAACATGGATGCACCTACCTACATGCAAGCAATACACCTATACACATTAAATAAAAATAAAATTAAAAGAAAAAAGAAGTCAGACACAGTGGCATGTGCTTATAATCCCAGCACTAAGGGGTAGAGACAGATAGATCTGAGACTCATTGGTCAACCAGCCTAGCCTACTTAGCAAGCTGCAAGCTCAAAA